CGGCACAGCCGGCCCCGTGTATCAAGATGGTGGCGGTCCGCTGCTGCCCGTTTAGTCGTGTTCATGCGCTGCTCTACCCCCCTCTCCCCTTCCCGTCCCTTTTACCTGCTCCACCACCGACTTAATTTCGGCCATAAAACTGATGTGACATAAAGCAGTCTTGTTCGGACCACTAGTTCAGTGCGCTCGTAACACCCACCCCCGCCCCCGCCGCCGGTCACCGCCCGCGCCCGGGCGCCGCGAGCTCCTGTGCAGATTTAACTCGAACACAACAACGGCGAAACGGTAACTTTGTCGTTTGCTAGCGTTTGACCCAGTTGCCGTGTTCCGCGGGGCGGGGGCGCGGCGGGTCGAGACGGGGCGCGCGGGACCGGGGCGGGGGGAGCGGCGCCGCCCGGCCCGGGCCCGACAGGTGAAAACCACAACATATGTGCGGTGGAGAAGTCCCGGACCGGGTAAGTAAGGTAGGCGAGAGGAAGTACTTACTGCTGTCCAGCCAGGGGGCGCCCTTGTGCTCCTCCTCCTCCTCCGGGGTGCCGGCAGCGTGCTCCTGGACTGCAACACAGAGAAGGGGAAGCTGTCAAGGCGATGGAGAGGGCAAAAAGTCGCTTGAACTCTTATTCAACCTGCGAGCACAGCATCCAGAAGTTGAACTCTGAAACAAGCCAGTTCAAGCATGCCGGACAAGACAAACGAATCCCAAATAACCATCCGTTAAATTAAATAAATAAAGTTTTTACCATTTCCAAAAAGCGGTAGAGCACACAACCCTCACCAACGATGAATTTTTGTAGCTTCATCCGACAAATTTAAATATTTTTCAAGCGTTAAAGCCCTTGTTTTGTTTCGAATCGGAGACAAGACGGAGCGTTTTTTGTGAATGATGAGATAGATAGCCATGAGGATTGATAGACAGATAGAGATAGGGAGGTAGAGGGATAGGGGGAAAGAGAGAGAGAGAGAGAGAGAGAGAGAGAGAGAGAGAGAGAGAGAGAGAGAGAGGGGGGGGGGGGGGGGGGGGGGGGGGGAGCGACACCGTTGGCACGATCCTGGCGGACGCTGCGACGATAACGTCTGCTGACAGTTACGTCGAGTTTTGTCAAAAGTTCGTCGGGAATCTTTTATACCGAAATTCATCAAACACCCGTGAATTAAAATTACTTGTGATATATTCAGACAAAAGAATTCTCATCATTCTCATAAGAAAGAGTTTTCCGTACAACGAATACGTGGCTTTCTTTCGGTAAGCTCATATGAAAATTGTTGCGTTTTGCCTTGCCTTACAGACTACCAAGATAACGTGAGGTTCGTGGTATGTATACAACGTTTGAGAATCCTATGAGAGAATCCTAAAAGATGGTATGCATGCATAACAAACCAATTTTTCGTAGGCATTTTCCAGTGTGCAAATATCAATATACGGCAAGATTCGAGCCTCTTTCTAATTCGCTAATAAATGAGAATGAGGGTCCACTCCAGCTCCATAGCCCCGCCGCGGCGGCACCGGTGAGGACGCCGACGAGGGACGCAACGTGGCGAGCGCAGGGGGTGAGACCACCGAGGAGGCACGGCGCGGGGCACGCGCGCGCGCACCCGGCCGCCGCCGCCGCCGCCGCCACCGCGGGCAGACCCAGAGTGCAGCGGCGTGCAGTTTAAACTTTTTCATGGCGAAACTTAAATGATGTTGTATTTATGGAGGCGCGGCGCGAGGTTTGCTCTCGCTCTCGACCGAGCACGTAAGGCCACCCCGCTGCTCCCCCCCCGCCCTCCTTTCCGCTTCATTTGGCGCGGTGCGCTTTACCGGCGGCGGCAGCGGTGGCGCTGGTGCGCGCGGCTCTGAGAGTAAATAAAACAAGCTGCCCTTATTCATTGCACAGGAGGGCTGGGCCGCCGCGCCACTGATACGGCGGCCCCCTCCCTTTGCCTTTGTACGCTA